GGGTTATTGCGCATTTTTTGCCGATCCGCACACATTGGAATTTCGCTAACTCCTCCGAAGGCTTTCGTTCCACCGGCACCACATTTGCTCAGGCCAATCTACACCCCGTGGCCATTAAAAGTTATCAAAATCATGACGCTGCACCCCAAGGTTTAGGTTCTAGGGGGCGCCAAAGATAACACTAAAATCCACATATTTAAAAGTCTTATAACTTTTTATTTTTGTCCTCACTGGCCTCCAAGTTTTCTAGGATGATGCAATGTCCAGCCATCAACACATTTGTGAAGGAATTTTTACTCCCCAAAAGAGCGCCCCCCCATGGCAGGAGAAAAAAGTCCAATTTTTCTTGTCCCCTAAGGTGAAAATACACATTGTTCATTGTCACGCCTACACGCTTTGTCAAAATGACACAAAAATTGACACACACATGTAACTCAATAAGATCTACGAAAAAGTCAATGCGCGCGTATCTGTCAAATGTACGGTTAAAGGGTTATCTCGCATTTTTTTCCGATCCGCACACATTGGAATTTCGCTAACTCCTCCGAAGGCTTTCGTTCCACCGGCACCACATTTGCTCAGGCCAATCTACACCCCGTGGCCATTAAAAGTTATCAAAATCATGACGCTGCACCCCAAGGTTTAGGTTCTAGGGGGCGCCAAAGATAACACTAAAATCCACATATTTAAAAGTCTTATAACTTTTTATTTTTGTCCTCACTGGCCTCCAAGTTTTCTAAGATGATGCAATGTCCAGCCATCAACACATTTGTGAAGGAATTTTTACTCCCCAAAAGAGTGCCCCCCCATGGCAGGAGAAAAAAGTCCATTTTTTCTTGTCCCCTAAGGTGAAAATACACATTGTTGAGTGTCACGCCTATACGCTTTGTCAAAATGACACAAAAATTGACACACACATGTAACTCAATAAGATCTACGAAAAAGTCAATGCGCGCGTATCTGTCAAATGTATGGTTAAAGGGTTTTTTCGCATTTTTTGCCGATCCGCACACATTGGAATGTGGCTAACTCCTCCTAAGGCTTTCGTTCCACCGGCACCACATTTGCTCAGGCCAATCTACACCCCATGGCCATTAAAAGTTATTCAAATCATGACGCTGCACCCCACGGTTTAGGTTCTAGGGGGCGCCAAAGATAACCCTAAAATCCACATATTTAAAAGTTTTATAACTTTTTATTTTTGTCCTCACTGGCCTCCAAGTTTTCTAGGATGATGCAATGTCCAGCCATCAACACATTTGTGAAGGAATTTTTACTCCCCAAAAGAGCGCCCCCCATGGCAGGAGAAAAAAGTCAATTTTTTCTTGTCCCCTAAGGTGAAAATACATATTGTTGAGATTCACGCCTATACGCTTTGTCATATTGACACAAAATTTGACAATCACGTGCCTTGCCTGGTATCATTTTTTTCAGCACAACCTCACCTGTGCGAATTTACAGTTATTTTATCATGTTGACATACTGAATTTACACAATGGACCCAAATTCACACACAAAACATAAAATCCGAGTGGAAAAAAGTAACATTTTTACTGTGAAAACCACAAATATGTGTGATGAACTGTTTTTAAAACTTAAACTTCAAATAAAAATTGTAAACTTCAAAACATATGCAAATTTTTAACAAAGAACATAGTGATTTACCTCTATTTACATCAAAATGCAGGCAATGGCCCAGGCGTTCTTTGTAAAATTATTTACAAAACACTGTATAGTCTCACAAATGTCACTTTTTATTTATGCCACTACAAAAAAACATGATGTAAATGATGCATGATGTAAAACATGATGTAAAAAACTTGTGTAGATCCTCCTCTATGTCAGTCCATGTGTAATTTTTCCATAATTCTTTGTTTTTTGCAGCATTTTTGTTAGTGTAACTGCAGATTGTGCTGACAGTGTCTATGGCACAAAAAAAAAAAAAAATTAAAATGCCTCAACATGAACCCCTGGTGGTCTCTGAGGGTGAAACCTGCTAACTGCTGCAGCTCTGTCAGCTTCAGTCTCCCATGCAGAGCTCTGAGCGCATGTGTGGCTCTGCACCCTTAGCAGCGTTGCTAACTCCTCAGTAAGGAAAGCCTGCTTCATGTCAGAGTCTCTAAACTCCAGAAGAAGTCGATAAAAGTCCCTTTCTTTCTAAAAAAAAGTCGTTAGGGGGTCTGAAAAGTCATTGAATCTAACAACAAAGTCGCTAGGTTTGCAACTACGTGTCCCAGACTGCATCCCTGCTGAGAGTCCCTCCCTCGCTTCTCATGTTGCAGGAAGAACGTAAGCACCCACCCCTTGTCAATCAGTCACCATATAATTTTGGATTGGTTGTTGTGGTGAAGTTTTCCACCAATAGGAGAGATGTTGTGGTGTGGTTTTTTTTTCTTTTGGCAAGCCTTTTCCGCCTGTAAGACCTGTCGCTAATGTCTGCATGCTATGTTTTCCTGTCTCATACAGCGCGATCGAGCGCCGAACGTGATCAAAATAAGCAGAAAAAAAGTATCGCGGACATAATTTATCATAACTCTGGTTTTATTTGGCCTATCAACACAATTTAAAAACTGGTATATAGGTTGAGGTCCTCACTTTTGAGATAAGTTGAAACGGAGAGTCAACGAGGCTCCGTCTTGCAGCTACATCCGGTTAAATATGTCATGTGACTTGAACGCACACACAGACACACACACACGCACGCACACACACACACACACACACACACACACACACACACACACACACACACACACACACACACACACACTCAGAGTCTGGTTTTTAGCACCTGCAAAAACATGCTATTTACATATTTGACAAGAATGCAGAGGCTCCTTTTGCCCCTGAAAAAAATCAAATTTCAAACACAACTTGACTGCTCAATTCTCCAAAAGACAACCATGAAGCTCCATCCAAACCTGAAGCAGGCAGTTGGTGCATGTGTACAGTAACCTGAGGGGAGTGAGGTGAGTGCTTCTGAGGAGAACATGAGCAGTGAAGATTCACCTTGGAGCTAGAACAGAGACATGCACATGATTATACAGGGGCAGGGGCTCAAGTTTTTTCCAGTTGTTTATACAATATGGAAATTAATGTGAAATTAAAACACAAAGTATTAATAGAAAGGTTATGACTGTCCTGTGTAGGTGACAGTGATATCCAATAGGCTAGGCACTCACGAGGCTGGCTGTGGCAAGTGTAAGTGAAAGCAACACGCACTGGCAAGAAGAACAGCAAACGCCGATGAAGGAAAAGGGTCTTTGCAGTGATGGGCGTTACCAGAGAGGGCGATGGCCAGAGGACACAAATGGGACGGGGAGGCAGCACGTTGGGGGGGGGACGCGACACGGCTCGGGCCCGCCAGTGCCCCAACGGGGTCCTAGTTTTTTTTTATTTCTGTGTGTGTGTGTGTGTGTGTGTGTGTGTGTGTCTGTGTGTGTGTGTCTGTGTGTCTGTGTGTGTAGGAAATTTAACTGCATATGGTCACATTACTGCATATGTGCTGGATGCACTGTGCTGGAAGACACTGATGTACATGTCTGTTGTTGCATAATATGGGACCTTTAATGACTGTAAGCTTGCCTACCCCTGTCCCTGCTACATGATTGGCTGTTTTCTCCTTTTTAATACCAACATTGAAGGCATATTAGCGCCCCTCTTTTCAAGTGTTTAAATGGTGTAATTAAAGGACAAAATCAATCAAACTTTAATCAAACATTTAAAAAAAATATTATCTATTTAATGTCCAGATAGTTGGAATCAAACTCAGATTGCTGACTTGGGGGACAAAAACCTTCATGTATGAGATTTAACTGCTAAGCTGATGCCCTCCTGAAATTCTTTTAGTAGGTAAATAAAGATTTATAATTCCTGCAGGTGCAGAATGAATGTGCTTGATGAACACTCTGCAAACACCAGCAAACAGCCCAAAGCAATATTTGGTAATGCAATAGTTGACTTCCATTCCTACATACCATCTAATATTTTAAGTGTGTAAAATTCAAGTTTTACTTCTGCATGCATTCATTATAACCCAAAATAAGTCGGTGACCACCTTCAGTGACACAAAATCTCAATCTTAATCAAATTCAGGGTATCAAAGATCAGGAATAATGACCCATTTTTACTGAGACACAAGCTTTTTCCAAAGGCTTCCCTAAAATGACTTTAGATAAAATAGGACCAGAAAAAAGGAATGCTCCAAAAGAGCGGACTGGGCCTGGTGTCTTTTTAAAAGCTACAACAGGCTAGATCATTGAAAGAAAGGTTTGAAACAGAGTCCCCACAAAAGCAGAAAAACACAATGAAACACTGGTTCATAGCAAACAGACATGCACCAGTTCCCAGGATCCTGCAGTGTCATGTGTCAAATTTCACTTACAGATTCAGTGAGTGTTCATTCACTCAGAAACATGTCATTTCACCGTCCAGCCGTCCCCTGTCGTGATATAGAGGCTCGCACACAGAGATGCAGGGGGGGAGGGGGGGGGGGGGTTGAGCAGAACTAGAACAGGCTGAATTGATGGATGGAGGAGATGGAGGAGGCAGTGACACCGGGGAAACACAGCCAGGCAGGGGAAAAAAGAAAAAAGTTCAACACTCCAAAAAACTGAGTGAGATTCTATTTTAGGGACTATCCAGGAGGTTTCATGATTCAGGAACAGGATGAAACCAACACAGGGCTGTTTTAACTCAAACTAACATGAAAACCCATCTCTTCTACTGTTTACCCCGGAGAGCAAAAGACGTATTAGAAAGGCCTCCTTATAAATTCCGCAGTGTTAAATATGCGGTGATAAAGTTGAAATACTCTCACAGTGTTAATCCAACAACATCAGGAGTTAAACGCACTGCAGTGTAGGTGAAAATTTGCAGGGTTAAAAGACATAGTGAAAAAAGTACTCTGGGAAGATGCAGAGTAAAAAGGAAGTTATTCTGGGAGATAAGAAAGTACTCTGGAAGCTTATGGAGTAAAAATAAAGTTACTGTGGAAAGACGTGGTGTAAAAGGAAAGTTACTCTTTAAGAAAGTACTCTGTAAAGACCCGCCCCCTTCAGTCTCATTTCAAACGGCAGCTTCAAACCATCCAGAGGATTCTCGTCACCATTTCCTTGTCCTCCATCCTTCAGTAAGTTTCTCCAAATTGTATTTTAAATGAACATTTTTTAAGATTTCAACCTTAGAAGCATGTTGTGATGTTTTTGTTCATACACTCCACCCGGGTTTGTGTGTTAGTATTCAGAATTTCGAAGGGTGAGGGTGACGGAGTGGATGGATAGCTTAAATATGCAAGTCACACGGAGCTATTGAAATACAAAACTGGACAGTGTGGGTAAGAAGGGAGGGTTAATGTTGGGTAGTTTGCAAAATCTTTCAAATATCCAGGGTTTTGTATGCAAGTTTTGAGTTAGTGTAGCGTGGACTAACTGAGTTGTAAGTGTGTAAAAAACACTCCACCCATCCCAAAAAAACCCCTCAAAATTTTGCACGCGACTCTGGCCCGTGTAGTCGTGTCCACTTTTGGGGGGGTTCAGAATATTGTCACCCTAACTAAATAAGAGATCAAAAATACAAGTATGAATTTTTCACCACCTTTTATTGTTTTATAAGCAGTAACATCAGTGTTTCTGCTTATACCAAGTTGTCTATCAAGGCCTTTGGAAATGTGTCTTTACAACGATAAACACTCTAAGAGTATCTTTTTGTTGTAGATCATAATCTATTTCCACAGACACCACCATGTTAATAAAGACAAAAATCAAGAATGAGCAGAAATATGTCAAGATCAGCGAGCCCAGCCTGGGAGAATTCTTGAATTCTGGTAGGTCATCTGTCACAATCCATTTTATGAGTAGAAATTGGGTGCTATTTGATGACTTGAAGATTTGAACAGCACTTTTGTATCAATCTAAAGTCAATCACATCTTTAAGTTTTTGGTAGCTATCTTTGTAGCATCTCCCAAGGCCACAGCCAGTGGGGGCTAACTTTTGTTGGTAGTTTTCTTAAATTTTTTCCTCAACTAACAAGTGTGGTATCAAGGGAAACCATTTTTTGACTTGGTAGGACAGATAGTGTCTTTTAATCTTCTCAAGCATTTCCTATTGAGTGACCCCTGTTTATGTTTACTTCTTAAGCTTTCCTGAAGTTCTCCATCGCACCTGTAAGTGAAGGAGTCAGAGTTTTTGATGAGACAGGGACTGAGATTGATGCAGACGTCTTTGAAGAGGTGGCACAGCAACCAAATGCTGGTGTATTTGCTATCTCATTTGACAGCGGTAACCTTGCTCTTTCCTAATTTCCGTTCTTTTTAGCTTAGTCCTTGGAAAAGAAATGGTAGGTGTAATTTTTTTCCTCCTTTCTCTCTCCTGAACTTCACTTAGATTTCCAGGGAACAACTCCCTCTGACTGTTCCAGAGGTTGTGCTACATCTGCTGTTGCTCTGCTTGATTCAGTAGCTAATTCACAGCTGGATCTTTCAGCCTGTAGCGCTGATGACACAATCATCCTGGAAGTTGCAGCCTGTAGCTCTGATGATACAATCATTCTGGATGAGGATCTTAGCCCTGCTAGAAAATGGCAGAGGGCAGAGGATCAAGCTAAAATTGTAAGTTCATATTTGAAATTTGTATTATAACAGCTTTTTGGGGGGATGGCACACTTTCTGATTATTCTTTTAAGGTATGGTGAACTGTTCAAGAATTCCTTAATTTGAATTACTATTTGCTTTTATCCTTCTCTGTCCCTTCACAGGTGGTTGAACCTACGCTGAACAGCAAACCAGCTGAAGATCGTAATGTCAAGTAATACAACTGAACAAAGAGTCTGACTGACTCTTCATGCTGACAGATGGTTAACATCCTTGCTGCAGACATGACTGAAATCTGTGGGTAAGTCAAATAGCCTTGACATGCTGAGCCATTTTTCCCAATGCTATTTATGTTAATGTAATTTTTGTAAAGTGCCATATTCTAATTCTCAGTACTCTTACTTTCATTAAAATTAGTTCTTATCCACTCTTTTTCTCTTCAGAACATCACCGCCAAAGCATGTGAGAGAGAAGTATGCTCGAGAAATAGTTGCAACATTCCCTTACCTGATGGATCCAAAAATGGATATGTAAGCAACTTAACTCTCCTTATAAATGTTGATCACAACTTTTATCTGTTTTGCATTAACAATCATCATGATGTTATTTGCAAGGAACATTTCTATGATCCTGAAAGTGGCAGTGGTTATTTAGCATGGAGGCTAAAAACCATCCAGAGGAAAAGTGCTTCATCAGAGGGCAGAGGGTCTTCACCTCAGCAGCTGGAGGGTGGTGGGCCAACAGCTAGAAGAAAGGCTTTATTCAGTCCAGACATCACCCTGAGTGAAGAGCAATGGAGGGAAGCCATGTCCTTTATGAAGTACTCTACTGATGAGGCCGCCATCAAGCAGAAGATGAATATAACATGTGAATATCGTCGCAGTATGATTCTCGATGAAGACAAATGCTCAGAAGTCTTGTCTGAATTTCTGAATTTCACTTCATTGTATGAGAAAACTGCAGTTCTAGTGTTATGTGATCGAGAGCTACTGCACTTGACCAAAAAACTTATTTAGCACTTTTTATTGTAAACCAAACCTTGTGAGTTTTTATGTTTAATAAAATGACAAAAACTGGTAATGTTTGTTCTCTGCTTTTTAAGTTGTTTGAAGTTTCACCTGGCTATGGTAAAGTAGAAAATCACTAAAAAGCTAATTCAATTTTATTTGTAATTATGATTAACACTGGTAGGAGTCCATAAAAATTAACACTGTAAAGAGTTATTTTTAAATTATCACTAAGTGTAATATGAGTTTAACACTTCTGAATAGTAAATAAATAAGAGTAAATTCTTATTAACACTAAAAACATAAAGTGTTAAATGTAAATCTTGATTGACACTATCCAGTGTAGTGCTGTGTCAAACAGTGTAAAATATTAACTCAAAATAGAGTTAAATTGACTCTGAAAATTCTACACTATGTTGAGTGTATATTTTACTCTCTGTAGATAGGGACCATATGTTCACTGAATAAGTCTTAAATTTAACTCTTTAAGTGTTAAATTAACACTGTCAATTTTACTGTGCACCCTGATATCAGGACGTTTTCATGCAACACAGATAAGAGTGAAAATCTGTGTCATTGAAAGCTTTGGTCCATCTGTTAACTCAGTTCATGAATGCCTTTCTAAATTATCATAACAATACTTTGCTGTTTCCTGTTTCCTCTGTTACCACTCAATGATGGTCTTTTTAATCACTGACTTTTGGCACCTACTCACACGACAGAGAGAGGGGGAAAAAGAAGAAACTTAGTGAGACTCCACAGTGCCTGCAGTCCAAAAAATTGAATTAAGGGCTCAGAGTCAGGCTTTTTTTTAATCACTGCACACATCCTTTACTACAGACCCAGAGAGAGAGAGAGAAAGAGCAGATCCAGATAAAGAGAAACTCTGAGACTGAAGTAGGAGAAACCGAGACAGAAAGAATGAGAAATGAGGAGGGAGAGAGAGAGGCCAGATTAGTGAAGCATATCTCCAGACCAGCATAATTACCCATCATCCTCTTCTGTAATACTTCTCTTATCGTCAGGCTCTTTGGAGAGACGAGGTTCAGAAACTTGAGAAACAGATCTGGGCTTCTTCTTATTTCGCTTCTTTCTGCTCTCTGGCTCGAACAGCTGCGGGGCGGGAGACCAGGGAAGCAATAAAAATGGACGAGAGGAAGGTCAGTTTGGATGTGAACAAGAAGGAGGTAAAAGGACTGAAGGGAGAGAAAGGGGAGAAGCTGGATGAATGTGGCTTTAAAATGGAGAGATAACAACACACAGGGAATGATAGTAAACAGGTTAATGTTGGAAGAGGATGTTAGAAAAGTGAAGAAGGAGATGATAACAAGACAGCATCATTTCAAGTCTAGGTGAGTCATTCTTTTTTTTTTTTTAGTAGAAACTGGACTGGTTACAAAAAAAAAGTCGCAGAAAAGCTGTGTGACTATCCTGATCACTTTCAAACTAAATTACCTTCTCCCTCTTATAGCATTTATCTAATTTTATTGAATGAATTACTAGCTTAACCACTTCTAAGCGTCCTTTCATTGAGGCCACTTCATTATGTTGCCATCCTCTGCCAAGTGCACTCTTATGCTAATTTCAATAATAAGTTGTCATACTTATGTCAACTTTTATATGGTTTGTTTTATGAGCACCTGTTAAAGAAATGCACACTAGACCTCCTGTTACCTCAGAAAATTTTGAACCTCTTGAATACCAGATATGGGGACTCGAGTCATTGTGACTTGGACTTGAGTTGACTCCAGTCGCTGTTATAACGACTTGTAACTTGACTTGAAAAAAGGAAAGATTTGAGGCTCGACTTGGACTTTGAAGTTCACTCTGACTCTGGACTTGACTTGACTTGAGACATGACTACTTGAATGACTTGAGTGTTGTTTATTTTGTGGTTTCAGTTTTGATATAATTATAAAATCAATATTAATATTAGCCTGCGCCCATATTAGTATGGGCACAAGCTGAGAAAGAGACATCATCAACACCTGTCAATCATGCATGCCCTCTCTAACCTTGTTATCGGAGAAGTGCGCTGTGAATATGTCTGTGAGAGGGATACCCCAAGTCATCCTGCATGGATTTAAAAATGACCCCTGCAAGGCCAAACAATGGACTGCAGAATGCAAGACGCGCAGGACAAAGATTTCAGACAGCCAGATGACAATGTCAAACTTTGTCCATAAGTGCTTGTATGCTAGCAGATACTATCATGTTTGTCAGTCAGCTTAACATGATGTGATGTTATAACATTTAGTATATGCTCCGACCAGTTCATCACATAAGTTAGCTACAGCAGGATAAATAGGCTAAATGACATAGCCAACTCAAAATCATTCTGTTTTTCTTTTAGTCATTAATCATACGTGTGTGGAACAATAACCCATGTTGTGCAGTAGTCACATTGGACTCGGGCTGGTTGATCTGCAAGTGAGGTCAACCTCATGGCACTAAACGCTTGATACAGACAGCAGACAACTCTCCAGTATTGATAGAGATATAGGGACTACTCCAGTCTAATTGTACTTATAATGTCAGGCCGTATCGACTGCAAGGCTCACAGGCTTTCAAGCTACAAGTTCATTTTAACATGCAGTAAAAATTAAAATCAAGTGCTGAAAAAGTAAACTTTGCAAAGATGAGGTAGAGCTTCCTAAAGATTTAGTTAAAATGGTGTAACATAAGGTTCTGGAGTCAATTAGAGACTGTTTGAGATGGACTAAAAACTAGAAACACTACTATTTTTACTTAAAAACAGATCATGAAGGCCCATGCTCTCATTTCTGTTTAGTTTGATTCCATGTATGTAACTGAATATCAGTGTTCACAATGCAATGGGTAAATTGGCCAATAACATTAAGTGACATTTACTAATATCTTGTCTTTTCCCTTTATTAAGAACAGATTGTGCACGTAATAAGTCAACTTGCCTTGCACTTGACTTGACCTCTTACAGGTCTTGACTTGACCTGACATAACCTTTGACCTGACTTGACTGGACTTGCCCAAGAAAAGATGACTGATTACAGGCCAGCCTTGAGGCTCCTGATCTACCCTTGTATACCTTAAAAACAGGACCAAACAGCACAGCCTCACCATTGTAACTCTGGGCTTTTGGTATGGAGTCACTGTACAGCAAAAAATAAAGGTGACCTGATATACATTTGAAACACAACTGCTATTCTGTCACTTCCCAAACAGAGTTTCACCTCTAGCTTATATTTTATTTGGTGATTAATGTAAAGATGCTACTTGTGGTTTAATAGAGAAAAAAAGGGAAATTATCATGGATGGAGGGATGGTATTGATGAGAATCGAGAGAGTGGGGTCATGGAGGAAGAGGAGGATGCAGAATGTAAGAATTACTCTAAAAGGGGGGGGGGAGACAGAAAATGGACGTGGCCGCGGTGTTACAGCTGAAGCAGTTAGTGTTTTCCATTAGTCATTAAGCGGTTGAGTTAGATTGAGAGTTTCGTGAGATCTCATTCAAGTCAAGTGGACTAAAATTATCTCCCTGGTGCAAACATCACCTAAAAGGAAGTTTTTAAAAATTCGGAATGACTCTAAATCCAACTTTTTTGAGGCAGAGAGGATTTTTATTTCAGGTTTTAAAAGTACAGACACTTCAAATGAACTCTTCTTTCTTTGACCTACTGCCAGGTATCATTTGAGAATCAATGGAGGTGCTTAAATGATCCAGTTTATCTCTCAGTGGTTTCCCTCATGGTCTTTTACTACTTATCATCATAGTCAATTAAACTGGTGCTTCTCTTTTGGACATGACCAAACATTTGTGTAGTGTAGATATCTGACATCGACAGTCCAGTTTCAGCTCTTTTACATTTACACAGCTCCAACAGCTGCCGATTCAAGTGGCATCCCTCAAGGACATTTAACATGTGTAACACATGCAGCAGCAGCACTCCTGAACACCTGCAAACAGACTCTGACCATTGAAATAAGTTCCTGGCATATAAAGAGCAACTGCACAGATAAGGTATCAAAAAAAAAAAAAATTTTTTTTCAGCATTTAGGCCAAGCTAAGCCCCTCAGTCACCAGCCCACTTCTGAAACATCTGGGCTGCAGAGTGCCCACTGTCAGTGCCTGCAGGGACCAGGAGGGATGACAACAGCAGACTGTAGCTGGTAGCTTCATACAGAATTAGACCCTCCTGTCAGAAAACATCAGATCTGGTTCCAGAGTAATTTAGGAGGCCATTTAAATGTTCTGGCTGTCTTTGAGGCATTTCTGCTTCATTAGATGGTTTACTAAAGAGCACTGCAGCAGAAAGATGACAGGAAACAAAGGTCCTGATGTGCAGTGTGCTGACGAACCCCAAAGCTTCATTGCATGACAAAGTTGTGGCCTAAAATGCTACAGAAGGATATTTTTAGACAAAAACCAATATGCAAACTTTTATTTCCCATTTGTCCTTGCAATGTGCCTGTATCTGGCTGAAAGCAGGTTGATTAGATTTCCACCCTGCTTGTGCTCGATCCTCGCCCTCTGCAGCAGCCCTCTGTGTTCTTCCAGTACAAGCATAATAGTTTGTTTTTTCCATAATTCATGACTTGCTTGAATTGTATTGAGGTTTTCATGAACTCAGATACTTGAATGAAGCGGCTGTTAAATTTTTTAGCCCAGGGCTCAAACTGAATAAAATCATTCTCGCTCTGTCAGCTGCATTCAATAGAATATTGTTCTGCTGTCATGTACGAGCGCCACAGAAAGGAGAGTCTGGCTGCATCTTTTTGGGGAGGCAGGCTTATTGTTTAGGAAGCACTGCGCTAGCATAGTGGCCCTCCAACTTAAACATTTGGAAAAGAAAATTATGATGTTGGCGTCTGGAGCTTTATGTAATATTTCTGGCACAGGTCCATTTGATTACCTTGTTCATAACAGCGTCAAACCAGGACAAGAACTTAACAGAAGCTGGGATCTTCTGAATTATTAGTATTTTGACTGCACACTTTCTTATGTTTTAGCATTAGGTACGGTTTCTTGTTTGGGGATTCATATTCTGAATCCCCAAAAAA